CTAATGTACTGTGTAATATTTTCAGCATCAAAGAAAATTATTTTCTATCAACATGCTGACTAAATAAAATCCTTACCTCATCAATCGGCTGGTACCTCCATAGACGTCATCAATAGAAACCAAATGGTCTCCCTTGTTAAGTAGAGAAGTGATGCTGGTGGTCGCTCCCTGGCCTGATGCAAAGGTGAACGCATACTTAGCGCCCTCCAATGCCGCGAGACATTCTTGTAGGGTGTCTCTCATCGGATTCGCTGATCGGGAGTATACGTAACCCTAAAAAAATGCATAAAATTATTTAGGTATGCCCTTCGTAAAAGTAAAATCAAGTTTACTACTAAAAGTCCAAAAACTGAAGAATTGTTTAAATGTCCTTTGATTTTTGTCTCTAAATATAAGATGTAAAAAATTCAGAATGATATATAATGAATCATAATACATAATTCGCAGCTACTCTTTCTATCGTTAGCTATCTTATTGAACTTTCACTGCTTCGAACTAATATAAATAAATCTTATAAAAAAATACCTAAATAAAAAAACCTAAAAATATTGATTACGATTTTTTTGGACACATCCTGTTGCTTTAAAACTTAAATTAAATATTTTTTACAAACAAAAATACAAGTATCACGTACCTTATGTCCCTCAGGAGCCTGTTTATACATGGTGGACATCACGACAGGTGGCACCACTGCTCCATTCCATTTGTCAGGGTTTTGACCAGCGTGGACAGCTATGGTCGCGAACCCTGGCTTCGGTTTTTGGAATCCTTGCTCGTCTGTCATCTGTGCAATTTAAATGTTTCATTATTATTTATATCTTTAATATATTATATCCATTAAAAAAAACTGAGACGAATTTTTATGCATATTATTACCTATTTGTTTTTTATCATTATTATTTTTTCCCATTTAATTGAAATGAACATGTAAGTCATTTAAAACCATAAAAATATTACATTTAAATAAAAAACGATTGACGAAAAACAACAACAAAATCAGCTGTTGTCACCGAAGCACATCTAAAAATAGTACGAGTACTAATTTCTTCAAGGTGAAGATCACATGATGTTAACAAAATATTTATAACAATAAATAAATTAACCAAACATTTACAATTTAACAAGAAAATAAAAATATCATACCTTTAATTTCTGGAATATTTTCTTATATTTCTATTTATAGTGGCACAGTCGCCGGGTTTGAGTTACAATAACAACTGACTGGCTGGAGTTCGATATCCGACCTCTTTATATTGAGGCATGCACCATCCGCAGTGTGATGTCCATATCAGATCGATCACATTACATAACACAACAATTCTCAATAAAAAAACAAAAAAAAACATTCATTTAATTTAAAAATCGTATTCATTTTAAATAAAAAAAGAAACGAAAAATATTTATCTTATTTATTAAAAAAATTATATTTAAAAAAAAAAAATAACGTATTCTATTTATGGAGTAAACAACAGTTATCAGCTGTTGAAAAAAACAGTAGTATTTTTATCTCTAATGCGTATGGAAAGATTGGAATATTTGGGAACATTTACGATAATCTTGAGTGATGATATCGGACAGTATGTTGTATTGTATAGAGTACAGTTATCACTCGGTTATCAGTAAATGAGTTGAAAGTACTCAGTGTGGGATGAGGGTGTGTTTAAAATAGCGAATGATATCATAATATTGTACTCTGTTTTATTTGAAAAGAATGCGATATGGGAACTATCGCGTGGTTCGCACATGCGATGTCATGTGTTTGTGTTCAACTGTTTAATTTTAAAATAAGTAGATATTTATTCTTAGTTTACATATTAATTTATTGTGTATGTCGTGGTGGACCGGAGGTTTAAGATGCCCGCTTCTCATGCATTAGGGTGGAGGTTCAAAACCTACCAACGACAAGTACCAATGTGGCTTTTTCCGAGTTAGTATGTACTTTCTAAGATTATCTAGACACCACTGACAAACGGTGAAGGAAAACATCGTGAGGCAACCTGGGCTTATAATTTCTAATTATAAGTTTGTAATCGCCAACCCGCATTGAGCAAGCGTGATTAATGGTCAAACCTTCTCCGTGTGAGAAGAGGCTTTGCTCAGCAGTAGATATTTATCTGCTGTTGATGAGATGATGATGATGATGATGATGACATATTAATTACAAGAATCTTTGTTTTACTGGAACAGAAAGATTGTTGATTTAGGTATGACTATCATTTTTCCAACACCACCAGGACGCACCGGTCTCTATTTACGACATTTATAATTTACTAGCTTTTACCCGCGGCTTCGCTCGCGTCACAAAAGGATAAAAAGTAGCCTATGTGACACATATACACACAGCGCCATCTATACCAATGATTTCGTTTTTCCTCGAGAATATCAAATTTTTCCGGGATAAAAAGTACCCTATTATTTAATCCAGACTTCTAACTTTACGTCTGCAAAAATTCAAAGCAATCGGTTTAGTAGTTGCGGCGTGAAAACGGAACAAACAAACAAATTCACTTTCCGATTTATAATATTAGTAAGAATTAATGTCTTCAGGATCTTTACGTCATAACTGACTCCAAACCCGTGGTGAAAGAAAGAACCAAATCGTAGGCCAATATAAGAAAGGAGAAGAAAAAACATAGACCAAACCAATATAAGAGAAGTAGGTATTCACATTTTATCATTTTATGGAGACGGACTTTAGACCCGTGTATAAAAGAGCTCTTACTAAATATAGATTCCTTTTATTTATCAACTGTTATCTTACTTTCAACATAAATATTGACGAAACAATAAACAAAAGCCTGTGTAGCTACCTACTATGATAAAATTCTGTGATAAAACGGGACTATGGTTAAACGGGTGGAATAAAAAACAAATACCCACGGAATATTCAATCATTTACATTCCCTTACATTACTCTTGAAAGTAAATTCCGACATTCAAGCATTTACGATTTCTTATTCAATTCGTAAGTAAGTAAATAATTCCTGGGAGAAATCCCGGTATCTCCCAACCCTATTGAGAGCGTAATAAGGTAAGAGTATGAAATGAGAAGCGAAAAAGCTTGTATTTTAGACCTAATGAACACAATCGTCCTGGCACAAGCCTTTCGAAAAGACTATTGTTTCTTTTACCCCTTACTTACTCAACCTAACAAACGAAACCCGACTCTATTACATCTTAATTTTAGATATATATAAAACTTGAATAACCTTCGGTAGTTATAACTTTTTGATATGGGGTTAACACTCTTTAATAGTATGGGTAAATGATTAGTTTAGCTAATTCTAATTGGAATTATAAGGAAGTAGAATAAGTAGATGTTTGTTCTATTATGGAATGTCACGGTCGGTTATTAATCTGTGGACTCTGTGGACAGTTGATTGAATCTTATTGTTGTAATGTCACTAAATTGACGCACTCTATTGGTGGACTACACATGCTATATAAATACTATGATATACTAGAACAAGTAAAAGTGTCCTATCCCTCGTATATCGCGAAGGACGATCGCGGGACGATCTCCGGCCACCGTAAGCGCGGGCCTGCGGACGACGAGCATGGGTGGCTCCCCGTCCGACCAGAAACAGATCCGAGCGTACGCGTTCCGCGCGCGCCTCAAAGAGCCATCAGACCACCACAGATGGGGTCCAATACGGCCGATGCCGATTCGGAGTCGCGGAGAACCTAACGGGTAACCGGGGCTCCGGCTCAACGTGCAGGAGAAGGAACGGGGTGGTTTTTAGTCAGTAAGAGTCTGACACTCCCTCCCGCCTCACCCAGGCGGGAGCAGTCATTCGATGATTTTCCCCCCTTAAAAAAAAAAAATCCCTCGTATATTGTTTAAGTACCAGTTCTTTTAACAATTTAACGTTTTGTTTGTTGTGTTGTATGTATGTTGTAAGTATGTACATGTTATTTTTTAACAACAATTTAAATATATTTGCATGCAGTTTACCGCGATTGAAAACAAAAAATCGACTCTCAAAAGTAGAATAATTAATTAGGTAAACAAAATAATGTAAACATTACATAAAATAGACAGGGTTTTCAATAAAATAACAAATTGGAAATAACAATTGAATAACATGGGTTGCTGATGTAAAACGTGGCGGCCATATTAGAAAATATAACTTAATTATATTAATTCGCTCGTTCAGTTTATGGGTGATAGGTATGGTTAGGTTAGGACCAGAAGGATGTTTTGAAATTATCTGCTAGAGATTAAGATTCAATTTGTAATTCAGGTTTTAATAAAATAATGTACTGTTTTTTTTTTCGTTGTACTTATAACCTCTTTTTGGTAATTTAAATATGTTTTGACCGCTAGATTAAGCCTCATTGTCAAATTGGGATTGGGAAACTCCTGTAATGAGAGTGTAGGAAGATTTTTTATAATAAATAATAATAGTTTTAATCGACTACAATGTCGATGTAAGGTAGGTTCGCCAAAGATAGTCCGCTTCGTAAGATGACCCAATACCACGTTATCCTGTAATGTATGACTGTAATGAATCTACGACTAAAATGTAATATGTCTATAACTATGATATCAACGTAAATATTGTATTGTAATTATGAAAATTATTATGGTTACTTTAATTTGAATTTTTTATACTTTCCACGCTTGCTCGCAGGCAGAATACAATGATTTTTTTTTTGTAAGATCTTCCTTTGTGTAAATATGTATTCTTGCACATAAATTTTTTTTTTTTAAAAGTGTTAACATTTGCAACAAAATGGAGAAATAACTGTACTACTTTTTTGGATATCTTGATTGTCAAATAAATATTATTACAACGGCCAATATGTTTTTTTTTAACTTTATTTACTTATATGCAAGATTATAACAAGGTTTTGAAATGAGGTGGGCCTTCTTTTAGCAGTCGGGTAAAAAAGGGGATAATCAATTCATCAGATTTATTTTTTTATTTTTTGAAGAAATAGTTAACGAAAGACATTGGTAACTACATGTAGCAAGCATTCAAGCAAGATACGTCAACGTGGTAACGAAAAAAAAATAAACTATGATATTTTCTTTTTGGTTTCAGTAGGGCAAAAAAGTCATAGTTTCTGTATTGAAACGACTTAGCGATTTCTTATGTGGCTAGAACACAAAGAATAACTTTTATTTTTATTTCCTTCATCCGCAGCGTCGAAGTCGGTACGTCCATGTAACTACGGTAGTTAAAGTGCACACTGCACAGTGCTCCACACTCGATTACTTTGAAAGAACAAATGTACGCGATCGACTTGAATGCACTCGGAAGCACTGTGCACTCGTTTGTGTACAATAAATTGCTTTTACTCTGACACACATTGCTACCGAATGTTTGGCCTTCTCGAAAAGCGGAAAGCAACACTGTGCATCTGTCAAACTTGCATCACTCAAAAATGGGCTCTGTTTTTTTAACTCAAGGTTGTTTTTTTGAAGAACGTTTCTCAGGCTGTTGGTGTTGGGATGTGTAAAACGTTGACGATACTATCAAACTGTCTCCATTCAGTTGAAGTAACTTGTCTCTGGCTTTGTGAATCGGAAACGTAATGTCTTATATTTATGAGTTTCAGGTTAGGTACAGTTAAACGATCTCAGTCAGTTGCAGGTTGCAGATCGATGCGCTTGAGGTTTTAAAAGCAAAGTTATTGTCATTTAAATATGAACCTATATCGTATGTTGTGTGATATATTTCATAATGTCAATATAAAAAGCCGTGCCGGAGCTGTGCTTGAGCTGCGCCGTAGCCATGCTTGTTAAGTGTAGATGACCTTTACAGTTATAACATAACATCACGCTTTTTATCCCCGTAGGGGTAGGCAGAGGTTCACACAGATGTAACACCCACTTTTCACTATTTATGTTATGAGTCCCGTGTAATAGAGGGTGAGCCTATTGCCATATACCGGGCACAATTCCAGACCCCGTGCTACTACATAGATTTTTTTTAATAACCCAGTATACTTTACCCGACGTGCGAATCGAACCCAAGACCCCTTACCTGGCAGTCGCACTTTCGACCACTCGACCAATCGAGGCAGACTTTAAGTGTACTATAGTTTCGAATGGTGAAGAACGCACAAGAAATTATATTGTTACTCTTTTAAAAAAATATGTTGTTCTCAGTTCATTAAAGAATCATGTAAAGAAAACTGGTATAAGATTAACTCCTTTTGCTATTTAAAATGAAAACTATAGACTATTCGAATTTAATTTGTAAACATAATATTTCTTAGTACATTTAAATACTTTGTTAACTCAAA